TCTTTAATATTTTATTATGCACCTGTCTTTTATTACTCATTTTGTTTTCGTTTTGGAAAGCTTGTTGTTTTTGTCATAAAAAATGAGCTTAAAAAATGATAACTAAGCTGAATTACAAAAAAACAAAAATGATATTAAGATTTATTATGCTCTCTCTAACTGAGAATGACATATGGACCACTAAAATAATGCTATTAAATTTGTGACACAAATACAAATAAGACATTGTTGTAGAAGTTGTTAAGGTTATTTTACAAATACTTTAAAAATAAAATATATTAATATTTTAGTTCATGAAATTTTAAATATTTTAAATAATTTTTATCATATTTTAAAGTAAATTACTATTAAAGTATTTACTACTAGAGAATGCGATCCAAAATTGATGATATGCATTGGAAGAAAATTTAGCCAATTAGTGTCAAGAAATTTTAAATCAAACTTCGATTCTGTAATTTATATGTAAGTGCGGTGATCGTGGACCGTTATTTTAATTTCGCATTTTTCTCCGTTATCTTAAATCGTTTTAACCTGGACAAGAGTCACAGTCAAAGATTACTTGATTACCATTTGAAATGCAAAATTTCAGCCTTCTATATCTTCTATATTGAAGAAAGTCATATTTGCAAAATTGATGGAAAATTCGGTCAACTCGTGAGGTAAAGGTATACTATTTTTATTTTATAATAAGAATTTTAAAAATATTACAATTTATCAATAATTAAATTTTTTTAAACAAAACTAAAATGCATGCAAGAATGAAGGCCAAAATACCCAAAGCATAGTGCACTATAATACACGGAATTTCGATCTTTGAAAAGAGTACAAATTTTTATAATCAAAATAAACGCTCAGTTATGATTTTGCCGTAACTGCAATACACAAAAAAATTCTGTCGTTTAAAATTTACAATATTTTTTGTAAAAAGACTTCAGGCGCTGAAAGATACATATTTTTGCATAGAATACATGTGCAAATTCTCGGATATAATGGTTGTCTACTTTAACCGGCTGTGCCACAATCACCGCACAAACTCTAACTGTTTTCTTTCCTCGCATACATATAACAAATTCATTCTAATTCACAAAGAAAATGAATGATTCCAAACGACTAAAAATGAATGACTAAGTGGTTGAATTCTAATTTACTTGTATTGTAATTGAATAAAGTGTGGTAATATATTATTGAAATATTGCTATTTAAATTAAAAGTTTGGATGTGTCCATATAATGTTTCAGTAAGTTCTTTTAATGCCTTATTGTGCACAAATTGTATTGCAATTACCAGCAAAATTTGTGTTTTAACTAACATTCATTTAAAAATCATTTGCATACAAACTCTTACAGTTACGCAATAAGCTTACAATACCCTTATATTCTGCAATTTTAATATACCAAATTATTTTCTGGATTTTGTTGCTTAATTACGAGTAAATTTATTTATCATTGAAATATTTAAAATAACTTTAGATTCACTTATTAGATAAAATTATTTCTTTATTACTTTGGAATTATTTAGAATATACAAAAACAATTTGGTTTATAATCCTTTTGACCTTATCATCGCGATTATAGCTAAAAACATTTTAAATAATTTTTCAAAAAATTTCTATAAAAGATATGAAATAGTAAGTATATACCTTGGCAAACCAGAAAAATAAAGTAAGTAGGTAGTTCTACTTCTTTTTAAAAACCATTTCAAAGAATATTCAAGTTTAATATTTTAAAAAGTAAAGAATATGAATATAAAAACGAAGACAGTCTTAAGTAATTGATTGTCTTGAATAGGTAGGTAGACTTTAATTTCCAATTAAGTCTGAATTATGTTGAAGATCTCTTGCACTCTGCTATTGCAATATTTTATTATGCCGTGGTTTTTGACAAATTTTGGTTAAATAACTGTTTAATAATAATTTAGGCGTTCAATATGTTGTTGGTGAATAACTACTACACAATAAAAGTCATGTGATTCATTTCTTAGAAATTGCAGAACTTTGAAATAAATTGTGAGTCTTTTATATTTAATACAATTTTACTCTGACTGTGACTGTTGACTTTAAAACATCCTCCTTGTAAAATAACTCAAGAGTTTTCTTTCAAATGATATTTGTTATTGATTGCATCCAATATAAGACCATAAGTAAAGAAAAAACTTTTATTTTCATTTGATATTTAAATTTCTGATTATTTTGTCTGATTCTCGAAGTAAATTCAAATGAAATGAGAATTTAAATGAATGAAATTCAATAATAATAATATAAAAAAAATATTCCTGAAAAAAATTTTTCATTTTATGTACATATTTTACTGTTTCTCCTTTACAAAGAACTCTAATTGTGTAATCCTATGAACTTTATATCAAAATTTTTTCAATATTTTTGAATAATATTTAAATCTTGTAAGCTACTTCCTTTTAATCTTTTAATTACTAAGAAAATTTTTATTATTTTCATAAGAAAATTCAATAAAATTTTGTAATAAAATGATAAAAAAGAAAAGTTTTTATATCTACTTAAGTGCCTATACTTAAAAATGAAAAAAAACATATTGAAAACCATAGAAAACTCATAAAAAAATAAAATAAATTTATTATTTTAGGCATTTAAAATGTTTTCAATTGTATAATTGGGGTTTAATCCCAAAAATCCTTTTTCAAAGGAAAGAGGATATTAAACAATTTTTTGTTTTAATATTCTCACTTTTTCATAAGGTTATTGCCAAAAATAATTTTGTTTTTAATTTAAAAATTTTATATAACATTCTATTATTTATACATAGATATATTATGGCGATATCCTATATTATCTGAAGGTTTTTTTTTAAAAGTACGTCATAATGTATCGGTATCCAGATCATTTATGATTTACAGGAATTAAACTTGCGTTACATAAAATGTGAACGTTAACCTTCTTTAAAAATATTTTTAGAAATGAAAATTTTATTGAATTTTAATTCTGGCGCCCTCGCTATTTCTTCCTACTAGGTCCTACTAGATATACTATTTTAATATTGATAATGGACCACTTCTAATTGAATTTAATAATGTCACACTTTAATTTAAATTAAACATAGAAAACTTTGAATTGCATAATAATTTCTATTTAAGAAAACACTTAACAAAATTAGATATCAACATAATCCTCAAAATTTTAATTGTATTAATCCTCGAATTGCTTACAAGTTATGTGACATTATAATATATCTGTGTTATAGGTGTAGACCTAATGCGATATAGAGTACTTCATATTCAAAAATATTGGGAACAGTTTGATTTAAACCTGAATTATGTTTCATTCTATAACAATACTTACCATATATTTTCTTTTAACTGTATCAATTTAACAAATAATTGAAATAATAGCTATTAACTTGGAAAAAACCTTTATCTTTTGCGATTTACAGCAGTTTAAGTAATATTAAAATTTAGAAGATCAAGGCCACTTCCTATGGATAATGTTATACATCAAGGCCAAGAAGTTTTTTCTCCTTTTGTTTGTTTGTAAAAGAGCGCATCTGATATTAAAATTTTTATTCTCTGTAATTTTTTATAATGTGGTATTTCACGGACAGATGGCTGAATTTGATAACTATCTGAATACACCTCCAAGAAATGGTATAAGAATATTAGTAAGAGCAAACCTTTTAAAAGGTATAAATGACATCATAAATTTTACCTAAAAATTATCTTCCTATTGGGCGAATGGTGTAATTTATTACTCTCATGCCTGCTACGGAAAACTTTAGTTCCAAAATTAACATCACATTCCAGTTCCAGGGAATCGTACAAGTTATTACGTTATTGGTAACGTTCAGACTAACTACGGCCGACATATTTTTTCCATATTTTTTCACTTCCCATATTTTTTCTAAATTTTTCTGAAATATGTCAAACTTTTCAAATATTTCTTTTATTTTTGTTTTATACAAATGGACTTTTTTTGTGGTGTTAAATTCAACAGATGAAATGTAAAGAATCTAATATTTCTATGTAATATAATTCTATTGAATCTAAAAAATCTATTAAATATTTACATACATTTATAAAACAAAAATACGTCGAACATTATAAGGGTATGAAACCAAAATATTCTAACAGGATATTTAAAACAAATATTCTAAAATATACTTTTGCATAATATTATAAGAATGTCACGTATGTCAACATAACTACACGTGCACTGCGAAGTGATACTGCTGATATCAAATTATTGCATGCTAATTTTACCACACATTAACTGACTGGTGTGTGGTGTGGTTTTTTTATGTTATAGAAAAAAATTTGAAATATTTAAATTATTTAATATGTACTTACAAGCTGACAATTAAATAAGATAAATTGTATATTAATGGTTAATTTAATTTTTTAACTTGAAAAATAAATTCAAGTTTATGTTACTGAAACAATATTGCGAAAAATTATGTCAGGATGAATAAAATTATTTTGTTAGAAATTTAAAAATATTTTATAATAAAATTGTACTTTTTAACCTGGTAACGCACTTTTCAGTTTCGTTTTTACTTATTTACTATTTCTATGTCAAGGTTAAATTCCAGAAAAACAGAATTTGAAATAAATTTCAATTTTTAGCGTAGAAATTAAAGTTTTTCTCTTAGGCACTCAGCGCCGGATCTTCCATATATGCAAATTAAGTATTTGCAACTACCGCTCGAAAACAAGAATGCTTTTGAAAAAAAAAGTAATTTTTTTCCAATTCTTTTCCAAAAACTTTTCATTCCATTCTATTAATATCGAAATTTTTTTACTAACTTGTGCCTATAGGAAAACAAAAAGCTGAAAGTTTAATTCGAGACTTTAATCCTATCATACTTTTCTTTCTTTCATGTAGTTTAAAGAAAATGATTTATTATGCGCAATGTTCAATGTCTATTGCATATTGTTTATTGGTTTGAAAGAGTTGTGTACGCAACACCCGAACCAAGGCTGTAGGTACCTTGAATATTTTTAATAAAATATCTGCTAAATAATGCCACAAATTTTTAAAGAATTTTAAATTATATAATAATCTTTATTAACTTATCACATGAAATCATTTCTAAATTAAAACTTAAAAACTATATCCAACGCCTTAAACGAACTATAAATATATTAATAAGTGAACAATATAACATACTGCTATTTGATAAGAAAAAAACTTCTACGCTTAAGTACAAATAAAATTTTTATAAAATGCTTCGCTTTCTCAATCTAATATAGACTCCATTATCTGATTTCAATGTTACCAACGATGATAAAATTGGATCATATTTATTTGAACCCAAATACTCGCATCCATTATTATCTAATAAATCATCTGTTGCTGGTAAAATTTCAAAATTTCTAATAATATGAGATAAAAGTGATTTCATTTCAAGCATAGCAAATTTTTGTCCTACAAAAATTTAAATAATATTCTTTTAAAATTACAAAAAACTGATGGAGTGTAATTTACTTAGAATTACGAATTTTTATGAATAAATTATGAAAATTCCGCATGAAAATAATCAATTTAATCAATGTATAATCAAAGTACTCTAAACATCAATGTCTCTAATACAATAATTTACCTATACAATTCCTTGGACCAGCACTAAATGGTACATATTCAAAAGGATTTGTTTCATTTCGATCTAAAAAACGTTCTGGATCAAATTTATATGGATTTTTATAATTTTGTTCACTGTAACCCATTGCAAAAATATGTATGGCAATTTCTGTTCCAACTGGAATCAGTTTTCCATCTACGAGCAAAACATATTACACGCATAGAAATTTAAAATTATTTTTTTTTTTGTTCAATTAACAAAATACTCGAATATACCTAAATATAAGGGCTCTGTTACCCTTCTTAATATTATTGGTACACTAGGATACATTCTTAAACTTTCTTTAATAACTAATTCTAAATATTTCATTTCTTGAACATCTTGATATGATGGATCAATTTTATGTAAATCCTTACTACCAAATAATAATACTTGTTCATCGTAAGCTTTTCTCTAAAATGATAATAACAGTCACACTACTTAAATTGAAATTCAAAATATTTTAAAATTGATTAATTTTATTTAAACAGTTTACCTGAACTTCTTGATGTCTTGAAAGTAAATGCATTGAAAATGTTAAAGAGGAAGTTGTTGTATCATGACCCTACATATTTAAAAAAATATTATTAATATTAAGAAGTTCAAAATTTTTCATCATAATATCCAAAACACCTCAAACATAAAAGTTGCAACTTCATCATAAATTTCTTTTATTGTTAATGGACGATCATCGATTGTTGCCATAAGAAGAGTATCCAGAAATGCGTGTTTAATTCTACCATAACATTCAATTTTATTCTTTTCCTCAATATGCCCATTAGTGTCCATTTTCAATCCATTACCATTGATTTGGTGAGTTTCTTCCGTATTATGTGATCCGTTCATTTTCTGGGAATCTTTTTGAAGATATTCTCTACGTTTTTCTATTATCTACATGAAAAGATAAGAGTTCTGGCTCAGAAACAAAAAAAAATATAATTTTTAGAATAGAATATGTATAACAAAATATTTACGTCAAATGTAAATGTTTTCAGAATTTTTAATGCTTTTTTTTCCATTTGATATTCCTGCGAAAATCTATATGTAATTGGATAGAATTTTAATGGATTAAATGATCTTCTTAAAACCACATAGCACATGCTGAAATGGAAAGAAATTTTTTATTACAGTTAATAATTTAAATGACATTTGACAATTTTTACAAACATTATTTTTTTTCGAGATTCTTATAACTTACTCTTGAAATGCCATTACAATTTCTGAATCATGATTATCCATTGCATTAATTTCAGTACCCATTGCTGTTTCACATATTACATCTAGTGTACAATAATGTAACATATTTTGTATATCAAAAATTTCTCCAGTCTTAGCCTTTATTTCTAGTTTATCAACAAATTTTCTTGAATTTTTTCTAATAGTTTCATAAAATTCATTTAAAATTTTAAAATGAAATGACGGTGTTATAATTTTTCGATGTTTAAACCATTTAGTTCCAGTACTTGTTAATAAACCATCTCCTAACCAATCATAAAATAAATCATAAATTATGGATTTGGTAATGATTGTATTACTGGCTAAAATTTTCTATAAACAAAAAATTCAATGAGTTATACATTATTATATTGATTAAATAAAATTTTAATAAAATGGCTCACTTCTACATCTTTAGCTCCAGTTAGTACAATAATGGGAATTATGCCAATCCACACCCGAAATATATTGCCATAATCCTTTACCATTTGAGTTAAATTCACATGATTATCTGGAATTTCATATTATTAATATTACAGAGAAATTTATATATTTTTAAAAGTTTTATTGTCATAAAATTAAGCACCTTATATTGAAAAAGTAGATTAAATAATTAAAACACTGTTTCGACGTAAATGCCGAAAAATCGATATTAAATTTTACCACCTAATTTGCCGAAAATTAAAAATAATTTTTATCATAATATTTAGGAAAAAATTTTTACGTGTTTTTAAAGCAATGTTTCCGAAACCGAATGCGCGGTTCCGGAACAGTTATAATAGCACGAGATATTAGTGATAATAGCATAAGAATTAATGGATGAGCTGAAACCAGAATTTATTAAAAAATAGTATTTGTTTATCGTTTATCATACGGCGTATGATTTTAATAATAGAACTTAAGATAAGATAGCACTATACAAAAATGCAAAAAATAGATACTCAAAAGTTTTAGGTGTAATTGCACTACTGTATATACTACTTTTGTAGAATTGAGCTCCTCTACCTGATTTAAAATTGCAAATAAATATTAAAATTTTTTATATTTATACTTTTTTTGTACAAAAAAAAATAATACTTTCTGAGCTACCTATGCTATTTATGATCTTTGTATTATTCTAATGTTCAAATCTCTACTACATACTTATACTACATAGCTAGCTGACAATAATAACAAAATAGGTAGTTACATTGTATTAATATATCAAATGTATGTATCTGTCTAATTTTAATTCACGTGTTATAAAAACAAATTAAAAACAATTTCAAAAGCTTTAATCAAAAATTTATTTTCGATATTTATTGTAGTAGCCAAAGAAAAACATGTAATTAACATTTATGAATGTAATCACAAACAGTAACACTAACTGTTTTTTTATTGTAAAGATAAGTGTTGTGTATGAAAAGCTTTCTAATATCTAATTGCAATTTTATTGATAACAATATTATTGTGCGGTAATTTCGAGGGCATCATATTTTTTTAAGGTCATTAGATTAAATGGATTATAGTTTACAAAGTGAATTAAGAAGCATTTTTGCAAATTTCAAGTACAAAAATACGCGATATCAACTGATATTATTAATATTAAATAGTCATAATATGAAGCGTATTGTAACAATGAATTCAGTAACAATTTACAGGAATTTTATACCGAGAATTCAATATTAACATTTTTATTTTATACTAATAATTACTGTGATTAACACTTTAAAATTCATAATAACATCACTGTTATTGCATTGTTTTTAATGTGATATACAAATTTTTTATAATTTATTGAATATATACAAATAATATACGAGTACTCACTAATAACATTATAATATTTCATTTTTACCTTAACATTTAACCGCCTTTTCATAACGTGTTAAAAAATATTCATGTTAATGTTAAAGTGAATAATAAAAACCTGTTAAAAATAATTGCATACATGAGTTTTTTTGTTTATTTTCAAATTTTGTAGGTCATTTATATACATACGTACATCAATATCGTCAAGGTATATTATTGTATTTTTTACGTTACATAATAGTGTATAAAATTTACTCATATAGTAATACAATATTTTCATGCCGTATTGTATCTATAGATACATAAGTATGTAGATTGTATGTAAATTGAATTGGAATTGATTTCAACCTTTTACGCAAAGTAACACAATTTTAACCGGTTTAAATGAAATTAAAAATATAAAGTATATTAATAATTTATATTACTTTTAATATTATTGCATATTTCACTTTCAATTCAATGGTCAAAATCATCAAAGTGTTAAAATGAATTTATTTTTATATTGTTATATTTATGTTAAAAGTAAAATACAATAAAACCGGTTCATCAAAAATATTGTAATAAAAATTTATTTGTTATCAACTGAACCGGTCTGTTAATTATCGGATTACTGAAGTTAGAATATAAATTTATAAAAACAACAAATTCTTTTCTCAGACAAAACAATAAAAAAAAATTTCGTCTTTACAAAAAAATATAATTATTGTAGCCAAAAATGGAAACTCCCAAAAAACATTCTAAATTATGTAGGTCTCTTTTAAATCAAGAATTTTTTGGAAGACAACAAACCCTATTGTAATATTAATTATTTTTATATGAAATGTTACTTGAAAATTAACATTTGCAAGGTTACCTTAAAATATGATGAAAAGGAAAGTAAAAGTGAACACGTTTTGTTTACAAAAGACAAAGGAAATGAATGAACAATTGATTTATCAATTGTTTACAACAATAATAAAGACTTGCACGATTTTCGAGTTCCAATTCAAAAATTCATAACAGCTTTGTGTTATGAAAGACAAAAATTGGTTGTCCCAATAAGTCGCGTGTTAAAATAGGCGAATTGTTCCAAGTGGATTTTTGTATATTTTGACATTACTTGTGAGAATTATCGACTTAACTGATCTATCTTAGGAACCTTGAAACTGGCAAGTATTTATATTTGTGATATAATTTCAGAGAACTTCAAAACTTTCATAAAATTGATCACACTCTTTTATCAAATTTTTTACCTGTATTACTTCATCTAAGTAAATATTTTTATTCTTAATATTGTATGTACCTGTAGAAGACAAATTCTAATTAACTATCAATAATTTTCAATAATTAAAAGCGATTATAAATCATGTCCGCAATATAATTGAATTAAAATCATATTTCATTTGAAAATTATTCAAGTACAAAAACTCATATTTTTTTTTGACATTGGTTTATAACGAAATTTTATATTAAGTACCTATACGTAACTAATTCTAATATCCACGTCATAATTCTAAAATAATGTTTACTATAACAAATAAATTTGAATAAGTTTCTAAGAATATATTATGCTAAAATGTTGCATATATTCCGTAAAATGGTTCTTGGAAAGTATGTTTTTAATTCTAGCAAAGAAGTCTTATTTTCTTACCAACTGGGTTTAATCCAAAATCACGAACATTACCAATGATTGGTAAAGTTTTAGGCCCTGGAAAACTGTCAATATATTGCCAAAATGTTTGATATTTATAAAAATAATATATTAATATGAATGTAATTAAACAGGTCGCTAATAATAAAAACATTATTGAATTTTCTAATTTTTAGCTAGTAATTTTACAAATAAATTTTTAAATAATTTCCAAAACTTCTACAATCTTATTCGAATATTCGAATTAAATTTTTCTTTTACATTCCGATCATGCAACCGATCAACACAATATTTTAATTTTAACTGAATCGCTTACTCATTCTTCATAATTAAAAGCAAAAAAAAAAATTGTTTACGATTTTTTTTTTATCATTCATTAAGTTCAACGAATTAACTCGGCGGCTATGTTTTGATTTTGAGAGTGGGATTTGTCTGTATTCTAAAATAATTATAAAAGGTAGTGTTATTCTTCGTTTCTTTATTTAAAATAACATTTTTTATAGTAGAAAGCTTTTGCTATTCGATCAAAATACGAATCAATTGTAAATTTGGCGAAAATTTAATATTCGTTGACAATAAATTGCTTTAAAGCAAAATACAAAGATTAAAGAATAATACTATGTTTAAATTTACTATTTATAATTTTATATAGATACTTATTTTTTTCGTTTTCTATACTAATTTTTTTTACTTTAACGTAGGACACTTTATTTAATTTTTGGTCTTTTTTAACAAATGTAAAAAATCGTATATTTGCGTGCCATATTCATATATGTATAATTGAATGTAGGTTCTAATTAACCAATTCGTTTTCAGAATATTTTTTAAGAACTTACCATTATATAAATTTAAGCATTTTTAAGCATTTATCGCAATATTCAAAAAAGACAAGTAATTCACCTATGCATCCAAATGTATTTGTAATATTTTGCTCTTAAAAGTAATCGTGATTATATTTTCAATGTGCCTGTTTAAATTCTCTCTTCCTCACCCTCATATACTTATAAAATGCATTTATTGTGGCCGCCAGTTTATTTGAGTATTTTATTTAAAAATAATAATAATTATTATTAAATTTACTCATTTTAAACAAAATGTAGGTATATAAATAGAATAAGTTAATTTTTTTAGCTCCATTTATATAAATAAAGGTCAAATAAAATTTTGATAAGAAATTTTATTTACATTAATTAAGACTCTTTAATTATTTTTACTTGATTCTTTTTACTACTCAATATGAGAGGAATTTTTACTTCATAGTTCGTTTCTCATGCAATCAAACAAGTATGATTCCACATAAAATATGAGAAAAAACAATATTATTACAATAACAAGTGTTCATTTAAATTATGAATTTTACTAATACAACATCATAGTTGCTAAATTAATAAGAATGTGCTTATTATACTACTAATTTATCTTAATGGAAATTTCCATTAAGATAAAAAAGTGTTCATTTATTTACATAGGTACAATAATAAAAGTAACAACATTTCGACTATTGTATAAAAGACGGGGTGATAGTGGAGCTTAATCAAACATACAATAGTCACGATTGCCACTGTTGTCATTATTATGAAATATAGAATAATTAGAAACATTTTAAGCGATTATATTGGAATCTTTCGAAGATTGCATTGGAAAATATTGGAATGATTTCGAAGCACGTACATTTTATCAATATCAGTTGGGTTATAATTTTTCAATTTCACATTCAATTATTGTCAATCTCTTTCCAGACAATATTTATTTCAGTTCATTATTCCTTATTTCAACATCAATTTACTATACTAAATTCTTAAAATTTTTAGGCATCACTTTTACAATATTTTTGACAATTTTCACTTTGTAAATAAATTATAATTATTTTCATATTAAAGGTAAATTTATTTAAAGTTGAAAAATTAAAATTTAAAATTTATTTATATGCATATACATATACTTAATACTAGTGAATACGTAGGATAAATTTTCATTAGAAGAACCGCAAAGTTTTAGGGGAAAAAAAACTTTTGTTTTTCCTTTTTCCTTTAGAAATTATTTCGATGAAAAAAAATTTTTTTTTCGTGAAAACACTAATGATATTTGTTTAGAAAACATAAAATAATTTATTTTTGTATAAAAACTTTTTGTCATGGAGCCTAGAAGAGAAAAAAATCTTTTATGATTTTCACATTTTTCCTATTTTCCTTAAAATTTTTCAATCAATTAAAGAAATATTTCCAATTTTTCTTGATAAATTTATACAATTTAATTTTCAGTTCGCTCTGTAACATTTCATTAGAAAGTTTTAAATATATATTTAGACCTATTTTTCTCATCCTGGCAAAATTTTGTAATAAAGAAAATGGAGAACGGAATTTGTAGGTAAGAGATCTGTATTAATTTGTTCACATTTTTTTTTTCAAGTTTGAAAGCGTCATTGCATAATTTCATTATATTTTTTTAGTAGTCATATCCTTTTAACATGAAAAATTATTAAAAAATGTAAAGACTTTTATTAATTTCTAAAAATTCTTAACAAGTATAATGCAAATAACATGTTGTCTGAAAAAATATTCAATCATAATATGGTAAACTTTCTCTTAAGCCTAAAATTATAAATTTGAAACTTTAAATAACAAATGATTCCTAATAACAGAAATTATTGAGCACCAAATCTTTGAAATGCAAAATATTTTTTAACATACTTTATCTGTAATTTTACTTTTAATATGTTTACGTTTTGTTTCAAACAAATTCAGCAGCAAACATTAATTTAAACATTATTTTTTACTCTTTCTAAATAATTAAAAAATTGCATACATTTAGGATAAAAGAAAATTTATATTCACCGATTAAAATATTAATATTGTAATATAAGCAACCGATTTGAAAGTTTATAAAAAAAATCTCAAACAATATTTTAGTTCTCTTATTATGAATTTTTATCTTATCTATGCATTTGCTTCGAAACTATTAAATTATTAGTCAACATATTTTAGATAGGCAACATAACATATCATGTAAGGTTTCGATTAACAGGTCAGCTGTATGATACATACAATTTATTCTGTTATTTTTTTTATTACAGAATTTAATTTTTAAATTAAAATAATCATTTCAAGACGTTCTCTTGAATGATTATTTTCTCACGAATTCTTTTGCAATTTTTTTAAATATTACAATTTAATTAACAGATAGTGAAATCAATCAACATTAAGTTATTTCTATATAAGCGCTTAAAATTAATGTTAATCTTCTCAAATAATGGCACTTTAAGTTACATGAGAATATCCAAAACTCAAGTATTTTTTGAAAGTTATTAACATTTTCCTCTCAAAAATTATAATATTTATACATGTATATAATAAATATTATAAATAATTATGCGTTAATCCTAAAAATTAGGAATTTTTTAATTTTTCTTAATAACACCCCAAAAACTTTAAATGGATTGAGTTAATTAAGATTAAGAGTGAAAAAAAAAATATTAAATGAAAAATTATCTAATAAAAAATTTGAAATATTTCTCAAAGTTTTAATTAATTTTTTGTTAATATTGTTATAAAACAAATACAAACATACATACATATAAATAAATTATTTGCTTTTTGATTAATATTATTATTTCTTTACTAAGAATTAATTTTTATGAAAATTATCACGGCTCATTAGAGTGAAAAATCAGAAGAAAATTTTTAAAATTTTTCTATGTGATTTCACAGTCTTCGAAAATGTTATTCATGTACTTTTAATTTTTGTTTAAAATTAATTATTTTATTTATTAAATCTAATTTTAATAAAAAAGTCCTTAACTTTAATAATTTAATTTAATTTAAAACAGTCTATATTCGTTTAAGAATCCATTTAATTTAAAATTATTAAATTTCACGCCTAGTACGTCCCTTTAGATTAGAAATAATTTAAAAGTAAATTTAAATGCCCCTGAATGCTTTAAAATTCAAATACAGGGTTTTCGGATTTTGTCAATTACACAGTTAGTCAACACGAGGCAATTATGTTGGTATTTTTGTCGTATAGTTTTCCTAGTGAGAATTTCTATTTGTTTTTTAAATATGGGAGAATGACACATGAAAAATTTAAGTGATACAAATTGTTTTATGATATATTATTGAGAAAAAATGAGAAATATAATATAAGAGAGAAATATAATACACTCGTAAGGAATTAAATTGAAAAAGCCAGCAAAAGCTAATCGAGAAAATTATAATTTAAAGGTAACTGTCTTCTCATCTGATAACAGAAAATTGCGAGATGTGAGTATGATTTTAAATAACATTTTGTGGCATTATATTTTTGTGAATATCACGTCTTAGATCTTAATCCTAACATAATATAATATTTCTACTATAGCAAATTCTTACATTATTAATTACATATTTTACCAAAATACTAATAACATCAACACTTAGGGAATATTATTGTTATACAACGCTCGTTTTGTTGAATTTCAAGAAAATTTAAAACTCTTAAAATATCCTGTATATCATTCTAACATTTTGAAAACAAATATTTAAATTTCAATAAAATACTACATTTTAGCTATACTTTTGTCAAAATTTAAATGAATATTTCATTTTAGATAAACAACAAAATAATTAAAAATAATTATATTGGGAAAATCCTTGTTAATGAAGAAATTAATTGTATATTTAAATCAAGAGAAGGAAATTTTTATATTGTATACCGTTCCTTATAATCTTATATCTAACATATAACGAATCTCTATAACGAATAAATAAAATTGATTTCATGTATGCATGTAGTTTAATTTTCAAATCTATAATTTTTAATTTCTATAACAAACTGTTATATAATAAAGGATGCGTAAAGACATATACATAATATGCTTGCGTAAATGTATATAATACATTTTCAATATTATATTGATTTCTCTGTGGTAAAGTCAAAATTACTTCAAATAAACCGCATTTTAAATGATATGCTTTTGCAACCTTACAATATAATTTACTTTTATAAAATAATTATTTACCTTGATAAAAATTTGTGCATTTATTTAACATAATAAACAAACAAAACTACAAATTTATTACAATATTATGTATATATATTATTATGTATTAAATAATAAATGTATAGAAAATATCATTATATAGGTATACAGGATGGAGATGAGAAGAAAATGAGAATTTAATTTAATTTATTTTTTTTTTGTGTCTTAAGCTGACGTATGTATTGAATTTTCTTAAGAAGTCCATGTTGTATATAAATATAATATAAAATAAATTTATATATATAAGAATAGGACACTAATG